GCCATTGCTGCGGTGCCGGCGGGACGCGGCAGGGGGCGATGGCGGGAGGCGCCGCGAGCGCCGGAGGGGAGGGGACTGTGTTAGAGCACCTCCTGACTCGGAAGGGACCCGCAAGGATCATCGAGTGCAGCTCCTCGCCCTGCACAGGACACCCAAGAGTCCCTGTGCTTGAGATCGTTGTCCAGCCGCTTCTTGCACTCTCTCAGGCTTGGTGCTGTGGCCACTTCCCTGGGGAGCCTGTTCAGTGCCTACCCACCCTCTGGGGGAAGAACTTTTATCTAATAGCCAATCTAAACCTCCCGTGATACAACTCCAGGCCAGTCCCTCGGATCGTGTAACCAGAGGAAAGAGTTCAGTGCCTGTCCCTCCTCTTTCCTTCAAGAAGAAATTGTAGACTCTGATGAGGTCTCCTCTCAGCCTCCTCCAGGTCGGACAGACCAAGTGAACTCAGCCACTCCTCCGCCTCCTATTGCTTCCCCTCACAGCCCTTCGCCATCTTGGTTGCGTGTCTTGTGTCTTGTCACGCCATTTTGTGTCTCCTTTGGACTCTCTTTAATAGCTTAATATCTTTCTTACATTGTGATATCGTGTCATGGCAGTGCTGGGGCTGCCTGTGTCTCAAGCAGCATTTTTCAAGGGTCCCTCTTCTCAGTGACAGGGTTTAGAGTTTCCTTACTCTGTGCCTCACCGGAGGTGCCAGATGTCCTGCAACCGTGGCCTCGGCTGCGGGGTGTGTTGTAGGGAGCCTGTGAAGAGACAGGTGCAGTCCCCAGGCAGCGTTGCTGCACAGGCTTCCCCACAACCCCTCAGCTCCATGCTGGTCATCCGTGCTGGCCACACCTGAGCTTGCTGCCAGAGATCCACTCTTTTGTAGTGCTTTATTATTTTTTCCTCTTGTGCAGTCAAATAAAATTGAAAAAAATAACAGCGTCTGTCCAGTAATCCTCAAAATTCCGGATCTAATCTGGCTATCTGATTCCACACGGTGATATTAATATTTTATTTAATTTAATTGCTGCTATCTTTAGCTCATCTTCTTCATAACAGATTTATCCCTCTCCATTGTTCCATGTAAGCTGGTGTCCCTGTTGGAGTTTATTTAAGCGAGCTGTCCATCACTGTCCCTGAGCTCAGCACTTAGGCTGTGGTGCTTGTAAAGTGTGTGTGTTAGCAGTGCTGGATTACATGGTCCCAAGACTTGGCTCACAGTTTTGATTCATCTGAAATTAAATGATACCCATAACATCAGAGTGTGTTCTGCTGCTGTTCCTTAGTGTATCCTACCTGCTTTGATATTTATTGTATGTGCTTCCTGGCTGAGTCGAGTTGGACATTATTCTCAGGGCTGTTGCGAAGCCAGTTTCTTCTGTTATCCAAGTAGCTTCCAGCTTTTTATTTACACCTTTTGCCTTACTGTTGTCATTAAGTGCAATACTATCTGCTATTTCATTCTCCAAAATAAAACTGCTTCTTCCCATGGCATGCTTCTAGCAGTTTCCAGGCAACTTCTACCATCAGGAGCTGATTACACTATTGCATTTCTTAGTTTTTCCTGACAAAAAAAAAACCTGAAAAGTGAGAGGTTTCTACATTGTAGCTGAATTAATTAACAGATCTGCTTCCTAGGACTTGGAATACTGCTGGAATTGTGGAAGGTGAGAGTAGGGAGAAACATGGTATGGAGAGACAATCAGCAGAACGAAAGGACAAGCAGATATGACCAAAAAAGACACAATGAGAAACAGAGAACAAAAAAGGAGTGAATAAGCCAGCCTCTTCTTACATTCCTAAAGAGCCCTGTTAAGAGACTGTTTTGTATGCAAAGCTGCAGGTTTTTTTCTCTCATCCTGTCTTTCCGCTACTGTCCCTTCTTTGTGGAAATCAGTTGCCTTTACCTTCAGGGTGGACTGACTCCTACATACCTAATTATCTCTGAAAGATCTATTTCATACATTTCAGACCTGAAGAAAGATTTTGTGCCAAAAACTTGTCTTCAGTTCCCAGCTATGCCTGTGTTGGCCTATCTACCCCAGCTGGCCCTTTTTCCTGGTAATTTTGAAATTATGAAAACTGTGCAGTACGCATCCAATATTGATGAAGCTTTACAGGTACTGAAAGGTACTTATTATTTATAGATGCCCCCTCTGCTATTTCCACATGGAAGGAGAGACAGCTGGTGTAAAATGCCAGTATTACTATGGCTATGCTGGGGCCTATTTGCTGTTGCTTCTTCCTGCGCTGGCATTTTCCCCTGTGCACTTGTCACCACCCTGGGGACCCAAGTCATGCTGGCCACTCAACTCACAGCCACAAATAACTCTGGCCCCAGAGCAGGAACTCTCCTGAGGGTGGCACGGGGCTGGCCACCTGCTGTACCGGGGCAGTGCCATCAGCCTTGAGGGATGCAGAGCTGCAGGGCCCGTGGCTCTCTGCAGGCCGCACACCAGAGATCCCAGTTCCAGCAGGCAGGGCCTCAGTGCCTGCCCTGTGCTCTCCTGCCTTGATAGCCATGCCAGGAGACGCTTGCTGCCCTGATGGTGGGACTCCTGGCCCCCAGGGCTCTCCAATGCTTCTCCTGAGACACCCCCCTGTATGGGAAGTGCCTGCACAGGGCCCAGAAGAGGCCTGCAAAGGGCTGTTTACAAGGGCCTGGAGGGACAGCACCAGGGCCAGTGGCTTCCCACTGACAGAGGGCAGGCTTAGGCTAGAAATGTGGAAGAACTTCTGGCCTCTGAGACTGGTGAGGCCCTGGGCCATGCTCCCAAACAGAAGCTGAGGCTGACCCATCCCAAGAAGTGTTCCAGGCCACGTTGGATGGGGCTTGGAGCAACCTGGCCTGGTGGAACAGGTTCCTGCCTTGGCACCAGGGTTGCAACAAGACAATTTCTAAGGACCCATCCAAGCCAAGCCATTCCATGACTTTGGGATCAGAGGGGCTCGGGGCAGCTGGGCCTAATTTCTGATGAGAACCAGTTCAGCCCTGTAAGTTTGGTTGAGTTTAAGGAGACTGCTCACAAGCCCAGACTCCCAGCGCACGACGTTTACCAATACTATAGGGGTGGCCGAGATCAAGAAAGTCTTGCACGCTCCGGCTTCTGTCAGATTGCATTTTATTGAAAACCCAGCAAAACAGTTTCATGCTTGCCAGTCATACGGCCACTTAGTGATATGTGTTAATTAATATGTGTCCAAACAGATAGTGACACTGTATATGGACTTGTTTCTGTCCAAAAATATTATAGATGTGATATGCATTCTATGAATTTTCAAACCGTATTTACGTAATAGACAACTTTCCTGTCATAAATACAATCACTACAGAGCATAATATTTTCACTGTAGATAGTCACTATAGTCACTATTGTCACTACAGATAGTGACATAATCTACATCTTGAATTTATATTATTTTATTATCATATCTATTCCAATGATTTTTTTCATTCTATAACATTTTCCATATTTTGCAAACATTTAATAATAAGTATATATTATTTGCTGTAATTAGATAGGAATGATCTCTAGTTGGTTTTCTATTTCATTTCCATTTTATTTATGAAATTATTGTTTTGTATGAAATACAATACATGTATAGTATATATATATTTTAGTATATCTATGTAATAAAAATTTTGCCTCTCATAAGTGCAGTAACTGTAGAGCATGAATATGTGTCACAACAGGTAGTGACATTACATATGTGCTCTATCTTTTTATAAAATAATACAATCTTTGATAAACTATTGTTATCATTTGTATCTATTAAAAACAGAACTCTATCATTTTTATCTATTAAAAACACATCTGTTAATAAAAATCTTTGTAGTTATATATATATATACTATATATATACACGCTCTAGTTATATATGTATATATCTATTTGTCTGTGTATCCCATTCATTCTTCTTTGTCATGGCACTAAAAAGTGATCGTCTGCCAGCAGCTGCAAGCCCCATGAGCACACACATCCAAAGGAGAAGAGGAGGGCGTGGTGAGGGCCTTGGAACACAAGCCCTATGAGGAGCAAGTGAGGGAGCTGGAGCTGTTTAGGCTGGAGAAACAGAGACTCAGAGGTGACCTTAGCCCCTCTCCACAACTGCCTGAAAGGTGGCTGTAGGCAGGTTGGGGTCGGTCTCTTTTTCCAGGCAGCAACTGACGGAGCGAGAGGGCACAGTCTTAAGCTGTGCCAAGGGACATTTCGGTTGGATGTTCGGAAAAAGCTTTTGACTAAAAGAGTGGCAAAAGTAGTGGAATTGTCTTCTCGGACTCTGGGAGTGTTAAAAAAAGATTGGATATGGCACTCGGTGTCATGGTTTTGTTGAGGTGGTGTTAGGGCATGGCTTGAACTTGATGATGTTAAATGGCTCTTCCGACCTAGCAGTTCTGTGATTCTAGGAGCCCTGCTAACAGTGGCCATAGGCCAGCAACCTCGCCAGGCGATGGCGCAGATCAAGGTAGGCTTGCATGGCCTGGGAGTGGGCAGCCTGATCCCGCCACAGGCTGTGGAAGAGGTTGGATGGCCTAGCTGTTCGTACATCTTGGGGCAACCTGATCTCCTCTGGAAGCCTCTGGTTGCCCACAATAAAATGCTGCAGGTATTTCTTTTGCAGAGCTAAGCGCAGCTGCTCCAGGACATCGGACAGCTGAAGCAGGAAAAACCTGCTGTGCCACCGTGACAGCGGTACGGTGTTCAGCTGGTGCATGAAGATGGTCTTGATGGAATGGATGGAGAAGCCCTTGCACTCCTGAAAAGCTGCAGCAAGGAGCTGCAGGCATTTCAGGTGCGAGCTGTCCTGAGGGAGCTGCATGGCCATGTGCCTGAAGAACTTTGTCTCTGCTATGCTGTAGGTCTCAGGCCACATTGTGCTTGGGGTGTGGGCCCCTCGAGGCCGGCTGCTGATAAAGATGTCTGAGGTAAATCGCTGTAGCCCAAGCATCACCTGAACCTGGAAGCTTTCCTGGCTGTTGGACAGCCTGAGGTGGCAGAAGCGCTGGGAGCAGTGCAGCGCTAAATGCCAACTGCGTGACTCAGGTAAACGCTGCCAGCTTACTTCCAGCAGTCTGTAGAAGAAGTAGATGGTTTTCTCCACGTCAAGGTAGGAGCCGGTGCACAGCATGTCTAGGAGGTTGGGCTGCTGAGTCACCATGCCAATCACGTCAGGGTGGTGGCGGAAGCACAGCATGTTCGCACCCTCCTGCCCCCTCGGGCAGCTGCACACCAGCTCCACGCGGACACGGAAGTTCCTGCCGGGCCTCAGCCAGTCAGCGTCACGCTCCAGGCGGAAGATGTGGCCTGGGGGAGCAGTCAGGGGTACAAGCACATGGTACACAGCTTCCTCCCCACTCTCAGTCCAGCCTTCAAAGGCACTGCCAAAACCAATGGCTTGGTGCAGCACCGGGAAGAAAGTCCCAACCAAGGCACGCCTGAGGGCACTTAGGAATTTCTCCATCATGGCCGTTGTCCTGTTGCAGCCTGCCTGCAGGTCCTGTACAGGCCACTGTATGCGCTCGTCCAGAAGCCATGCCAGATCATACGTCCGTGTCTCGTCCTCTTCCTCGCTCTCCTTTTCCTTCTCCCCCTCGCCGCTGACCTCTGCCTCACGCCTTCTCTTCCTCCACATAAACCATAGGGGCAAGAGAAGAAGCGAGAGCCCAACAAATGCCCAGACCTGCCAGGGCTGCAAGGCAGACCAGAGCAGGTCTCCCCAGGATGGGCCACTCTGCATCAGGGCGAGCTGCTCCACCTCCAGCTCCAGCCGAATCCTCTCACGTTCCTGGAACTTGGCACGCTCCTCCATGAGCAGACGCGTCGCCTCATCCCAATCGTCCCCCACGGGCTGTGGGTAGTCGATGATGCTTTGCAAGAGCAAGAACCACAATACCCAGGTATCCATGGTCTGCAGGAGGATGGAGACAAGGCCGTGAGGGGAGCGGGGAAAGAGGCAGCTGGCAGTGGGAGCAGCAGGTCTGGGAATCCCAGGGATCTGGGGGCAGCAAGGCCTGTCCCACTGCCCCAGCAGCAGCAGCAGTAGCAGCTGGTACCCTAGCTAAGGCTCTACCATCAGGGGCTGTCCCTGCATGCAGCAGGGAGAAGCCAGCCCCAGGTGCAGCATTTCTGCCCCGGCCCTTGTCCCCAGCACAGCCTCCCCACCACATGTGCACTCACCGCTTGCCCAAGCAATACAGGGCCAGAGTTACCTGCTGGGGCCTTTTCCAGCTGCCCCCATTGTGACGCGTCCCCTGTGATGTCACGGGTGCCCCAGCGCATCACAAGCCAGCCAACTGCACCCTTTGTCCCTACCCCAGCTCAGCCACTCATATATACTGTTTAAGGCTGCTTTGGAGTGAATTTTCTTCAAAGAACGTCCCTTGGTCTTTCTTTTGTCTTTCTGGCCTCCATTGCCAGTCTCCTAGATCTCCATGTTGGAAGGCAACCTTGGGGATCATTGAGTCTAAGCCTCGACTCCACTAAGGCTGCTTGAGCTAGCCTTAAATGTCTGCATCATGCGGCTTGAAAAAGTCCCTGAAGTTCACACAGTTCCACTGCAAACTTCACACTGCCTACTCCACCAGGTCCCCAGATGACACATGCCCATGACCTCTTAGAGGCTGGTGACTCAGCCATTGCCCTAGGCAGCCTGTTGCCAAGCTTGAGATCCTTTGGTTGAAGGAATACTTCCTGGAGATCCAATCTAAATCTCCTTTGGCACAACTTGAGGGAATTTCCTCTGATCATATTGTTTGTTCTCTGGCCTGGTAAATATAATGAGCCCCGCGTAGCTACAGACTCCCTTTGGGGGCGATCTGCATTGTGTCAGGTGCAGATGTTAGGCCTGTGAGACCAGCTCTTCCCAGAGGAGAGGAAAGGTGCTGCTTTTGCACTGCGGTCCCCGTGATGCAGTGGGACCAAATGGCTCGTCAGCGGGCATAAGGCTGCCAGGAGGTGTTTCCATGCGAGGAGAACCTTGCTGCCAAATACATCACCCAAGGGAATCCATCCCCTTCCAAGCAGAAGGAAAAATCAGAATTCTCCTTGTAGAAAATGGGAAGCTTAAGAGGGAAAGGCAGTGCTGGAATGTGCCAGGATACCCATGTGGATTTTGCCAACCTGCAAGGCCAGACCGTGAAGGTGGGATCCCGGCAGCCAAGAGATGCCCTCTTGCTCTGGGGCCTTCCATGGAACTGGCAGCACAGATGAGAGAGCCTTTCCTTGGCCTTGGCCTTCAGCAGGGCCACAGTGTGGGCAAAGGCCAAATGCCCTAAGAAAGCAGCTCAGATTTACACTAGGCAACCTGAAGGATTGCCCGAGGACAGACAAGCTCAACAAGGTGCTAGTGCAGTAGAGCTTAGGCTACAGCTTTCTGCCCTTGTATCTCTGGAGCCTTGCAGGGGAAGGCCGCATGGCTTGGGGTGACTTTCACCAGCTCTCCTGCAACCAGCCCCGGGCACGCGAGGCTGTTTGGTCTCCGGCCTGGCAAGAGCAGAAAGAAGCGCCCAAAGCCTGGCTTTGTAGAGCCCTGAGACAAGCAAAGATGAGGAGAGCGCAGAGAAGAGGCCATCAGCAGTGCACAGCAGCTTCTCGCAGTCATAAATGACAGAAAATTCAAACACTATTGTGGTTTGGAGTTTGTGTTGTGCTTTTTTTGGAGCCTTTTCCCCCCACCAGAGGAGAACGTGTGGCATTTCCCGTGTTGCACACCTGGATTTGAATGGTCTGCTCTAGGTACTGCCTAGACAAAACTCAAAATTGTGCCTTTTCCCCTCTCCTTACTCTGTTATCATTTGTCATTTCTAGGGGGTTGTGGGTAACACCATTTCTTTTTCCTCACCTTGTGCTCAGGAGCTGGGAGGGTCGCCAATCTCCCTCCCCCCAGCCCAGCTTGACCCTGAAAGGTTTCTGCAGTAGGGGAGCGCGGCATGTTGCCTGTGGCTCAGCTGCCAGCACCTGTGGCAGAGCCCAAATCTCATGGCAACGCTGCAGGGATCACTGCCCCACCTCCCATCTTGTCCAGCTCTGGAGCTCATTTAAATGGTGGGGTTTTTAATCTAGCTGCCTGAATAAAGAAACAATCCCATGGCAGAGGGAGCTTGAGGCTGTAATTTCGGGATCAAGCAGCAGGTAGGGACAGGACTGGTTAAAACTAAGCCGACCACAGGTGTCGTGGCAAGAGGCAGTCCTGCCGTCCTGGTTGGCTGTGTAATGTGCCCCTTCCATTGGCTTTGGGATGTGATGCATTTGGAAAGAAGGCAGGGTTTTAATGGAAAACCGCTCCGAATATTCACAGAGCCCTCTTAGAGGTAAAAGTGAACTTGGCTTTATTTCTATCTTTAGCATGCTCTTACAGGGTCCCACAGGGTTCTCGCAGCTTAACGAGCTACTATTGGCTAATACATTTTGTTGATCCTTCCTTTTCTTGTACACAACATCATTGTTTTTCTTCATTCTCGCTGCTCCAGAAAAGTTCCAGGAGCACTGTCCCCGGAATTGTCGTCTGGCTTGAAAGCTGGGTCGTGCAGACAGGCTTTTACTAGAATATCTTAATAGATATATAATGTTCATATCATAAGAATACTTAATTAGTCTTACTAAAAACTGTCACAAGCAGTGCATAGCACTTAGAGAAGAATTATGAATAATGCCATTCTAGTGAAATATTATCAGTATAGTAAGAATTGATAGTAAAATACTTGAAGATCTCTTCCTATTGCATCAGGAAACTTCCCTTATTCTGGAGTGCTGATTTTTCTGGATTCCTCTTATTGGGTTTACATTTTGTAAACAGTCAAGAAACATTTTTTCAGATACAAATCTCTCCTGCTGCTTTGGAGTGAATTTTCTTCAAAGAACGTCCCTTGGTCTTTCTTTTGTCTTTCTGGCCTCCATTTTCAGTCTCCTAGATCTCCATGTTGGAAGGCACCCTTGGGGATCATTGAGTCTAAGCCTCGACTCCACACTGCTTGAGCTAGCCTTAAATGTCTGCATCATGCAGCTTGAAAAAGTCCCTGAAGTTCACACAGTTCCACTGCAAACTTCACACTGCCTACTCCACCAGGTCCCCAGATGCCACATGCCCATGACTTTTAAACCTCTCTGAGGCTGGTGACTCAGCCATTGTCCTAGGCAGCCTGTTGCCAAGCTTGAGATCCTTTGGTTGAAGGAATACTTCCTGGAGATCCAATCTAAATCTCCTTTGGCACAACTTGAGGGAATTTCCTCTGATCATATTGTTTGTTCCCTGGGCTGGTAAATATAATGAGCCCCGCGTAGCTACAAACTCCCTTTGGGGACGATCTGCATTGTGTCAGGTGCAGATGTTAGGCCTGTGACACCAGCTCTTCCCAGAGGAGAGGAAAGGTGCTGCTTTTGCACTGCAGTCCCCGTGATGCAGTGGGACCAAATGGCGCGTCAGCGGGCATAAGGCTGCCAGGAAGTGTTTCCATGCGAGGAGAACCTTGCTGCCAAATACATCACCCAATAGAATCTGTCCCCTTCCAAGCAGAAGGAAAAATCAGAATTCTCCTTGTAGAAAATGGGAAGCTTAAGAGGGAAAGTCAGTGCTGGAATGTGCCAGGATACCCATGTGGATTTTGCCAACCTGCAAGGCCAGACCGTGAAGGTGGGATCCCGGCAGCCAAGAGATGCCCTCTTGCTCTGGGGCCTTCCATGGAACTGGCAGCACAGATGAGAGAGCCTTTCCTTGGCCTTGGCCTTCAGCAGGGCCACAGTGTGGGCAAAGGCCGAATGCCCTAAGAAAGCAGCTCAGATTTACACTAGGCAACCGGAAGGATGCCCGAGGACAGACAAGCTCAACAAGGTGCTAGTGCAGTAGAGCTTAGGCTACAGCTTTCTGCCCTTGTATCTCTGGAGCCTTGCAGGGGAAGGCCGCATGGCTTGGGGTGACTTTCACCAGCTCTCCTGCTACCAGCCCCGGGCACGCGAGGCTGTTTGGTCTCAGGCCTGGCAAGAGCAGAAAGAAGCGCCCAAAGCCTGGCTTTGTAGAGCCCTGAGACAAGCAAAGATGAGGAGAGTGCAGAGAAGAGGCCATCAGCAGTGGACAGCAGCTTCTCGCAGCCATAAATGACAGAAAATTCAAACACTATTGTGGTTTGGAGTTTGTGTTGTGCTTTTTTTGGAGCCTTTTCCCCCCACCAGAGGAGAACGTGTGGCATTTCCCGTGTTGCGCACCTGGATTTGAATGGTCTGCTCTCGGTACTGCCTAGACAAAACTCAAAATTGTGCCTTTGCCCCTCTCCTTACTCGGTTATCATTTGTCATTTCTAGGGGGTTGTGGGTAACACCATTTCTTTTTCCTCACCTTGTGCTCAGGAGCTGGGAGGGCCGCCAATCTCCCTCCCCTCAGCCCAGCTTGACCCTGAAAGGTTTCTGCAGTAGGGGAGCGCGGCATGTTGCCTGTGGCTCAGCTGCCAGCACCTGTGGCAGAGCCCAAATCTCATGGCAACGCTGCAGGGATCACTGCCCCACCTCCCATCTTGTCCAGCTCTGGAGCTCATTTAAATGGTGGGGTTTTTAATCTAGCTGCCTGAATAAAGAAACAATCCTATGGGAGAGGGAGCTTGAGGCTGTAATTTCGGGATCAAGCAGCAGGTAGGGACAGGACTGGTTAAAACTAAGCCGACCACAGGTGTCGTGGCAAGAGGCAGTCCTGCCGTCCTGGTTGGCTGTGTAATGTGCCCCTTCCATTGGCTTTGGGATGTGATGCATTTGGAAAGAAGGCGGGGTTTTAATGGAAAACAGCTCCGAATATTCACAGAGTCCTCTTAGAGGTAAAAGTGAACTTGGCTTTATTTCTGTCTTTAGCACGCTCTTACAGGGTCCCACAGGGTTCTCACAGCTTAACGACCTACTATTGGCTAATACATTTTGTTGATCCTTCCTTTTCTTGTACACAACATCATTGTTTTTCTTCATTCTCGCTGCTCCAGAAAAGTTCCAAGGGCACTGTCCCCGGAATTGTCGTCTGGCTTGAAAGCTGGGTTGTGCAGACAGGCTTTTACTGGCATATCTTAATAGATATATAATGTTCATTTGATAAGAATACTTAATTAGTCTTACTAAAATCTGTCACAAGCAGTGCATGGCACTTAGAGAAGAATTATGAATAATGCCATTCTAGTGAAATATTATCAATATAATAAGAATTGATGGTAAAATACTTGAAGATCTCTTCCTATTGCATCAGGAAACTTCCCTTATTCTGGAGTGCTGATTTTTCTGGATTCCTCTTATTGGGTTTACATCCTCACGGTCAAGAAACATTTTTTCAGATACAAATCTCTCCGTGTCTTCCAAGAGTGAGCTGAGTTACTGTTTGTGAAGAGCAGCAGTTGAATTCAGTGAAGCATGGTTTGTGTTCTTCTGAAAGGACTGGCAGTGGTTATTTTGTCGAGCTCAAAAGGAGACTCGATCTTTGTAGCTTTGAACTTCTTATTCTTTGTGTCCTCATTATTTTCTCCAGTTGTGCTAACTGGATGTTCTAACACCCATTCCTCCCCCTGCAAACCCAATGAGCCACAAAGACCACCGCATTCACCTCTGAGCAACTTTATTTTTAATAATGTCAAAGGGCAGACTTGGCTTTATTTTCTTTATTTTTTTTTGTCATGGAGAATATCTGCTGAATCCACAGACTTTGAAAAGTGAGCTCAGCGAATGAGGGGCTGGGGGCAGGTGGCCTTCATTTCTGATGAGAACCAATTCAGCCCTGTAAGTTCGGTTGAGTTTAAGGAGACTGCTCACAAGCCCAGACTCCCAGCGCACGACATTT